TGGGGGGGATGAGGAGGAGGGTGAGAGGACGGGGGGGATGGGGGGGAGTAGGAGGAGTCAGATGGTGAGGAGGAGGAGTAGGGGAGGGGGGGAGGGGGTCGACGCGCTCGCCAACCCCCTGGGGTATGTTTTTTTATTCCCCCACGACGTCGACGTAAACTGGCCCAGGCAAGAAATTATCACCAGCGATGGTGTCGGGGCCTCTCAGGATGGGGGCTGAAAAATCAGATCTTCGGACGATGCGTTCAACCGCCCGCGCCCCGAGGAGACGATCGCCTACTACTGCCTGAGCTGTCCTGGACCGCTCCGTAAGAAGCAGAAGAAGAAGGCTGCCCCGCCTCATCATATCCCCGCTTGCCGCTTCTAACACGTCGCTCCCCTGTCCTCCTCCAGCCCTCCTTATCCCTCCCTATTTTCATTGTGTCCGTCCTCCCTCGTCATCCCTCCTCCTCTGCCCCTCGCTGACCCCTGCTCCTCCTCCTTCCCCCCGGCGACGACGACGACGCGACGTCGACGGCGATGGCGCGATGGGTAACGCGGCGAGACATGGTGATGATGACGAACATCAACGGACGATGGTGCGATGATGATGGCGGCTCTGGTCGTGATAATAATGCGCAATCGATCGATTTTTCGATTTTTGCCCGCCTCGCGCCGCACGACGACAACGGACGCAGCCCCTACTATACTACTTCTACGGACGTACTCATGTGACGATTCTCACACATGTACACTCGCACAAAATACAAAACTAAAATGTTGCACTACCCACCACCAAAAGCTGGAGGTGGCCAACACCACAACGACGCGCTGTTGTTGTTGCATGTATTCCAGGGAACGCAGCAAGAAGACGGGGAGGATGCAGAGGAGAAGCTGTGTTCGCAGGCAGGGCGAGCGATCGCACAGCAGCGCGCTTGCTGCGCCAACTAGCGGACGTCGGACGAGGCCGATTCACATTGATATTTAACAACATGCATCGCAACAACGGCCTGACTTAAAGCCGTGCTGCGTCCTCCTTCTCCTCCTTATTATCCTCCTCTCCTCTCCTCTCCTCCTCGCCGCGAGCTGGAGCGGGCGCGCCGCTCGGCTCCGCTCAGAGGCCGACGAGCCCGCCGCAATGGGAGCAAGGCGAGCCGCCAAACCGCGACGGGCACACGCACACTTGCTTGCGCTTCTTGGGCACGGGCGGTGGAGAAACTGCTGGCGAGTCGCATAAATTCCGCCGCCGCGTCAGGCGGCTGGTGGGCATGTTGACCGTCACCTCTTTGGCTTCATTGTTTTGGTATTGTTTGGATATCATTATTCGTTACTCCTCATTTGGATATTATTATGCTTGACTCCCCCTCTTCTCTTATCATCATCTCGTCTTCTCCCCCTCCCCTCTCCGCGTCCTTCCCCTGACCTATTCTCCTCCTCCTCATCATCCTCCTCATCTCGTCTCCTTCTCCTCCTCATCTTGCCCCCCTCGTCGCCCTGGCGGGGTTGTAGTGCGCGCCAGCGCGCCTTGGGCTAGAAAGCGCCGCCGCCGTGGACGCGTCCGACGCGGTGGCGTAGAAAAGCTCGTCGTCGGCGATGTTGCTCAAGAAGAGCACGTCGCCGTCGCTGCCCCCGTCGCTGCGGGCCGCGGTGTTGACCGCCTCTCAGGCCCAGAGATTACAATAATTTACATTCCTTATCATCCTCCTCTCTCCTCCTCCTTCTCCTTATCCTCCTCCCTCCTGCCCCCTCCTCCGTCTTCTCCCACTCCCCCTGTCCTCCTTCTGATTCTCCTCCTCCTCCTGAAGAATGGCCCCCCCCCTCCTCCTCCTTCTCCTCCTCCTCCTCCTCCTCCTCCTCCCCCTCCTCCTCCCCCTCCTCCTCCTCCTCCTCTTCCCCCTTGTCCTCCTCCTCTCTTGCCCATCCTCAGTGCAATCATTCTTCTCCTCCTCCCCAGGGCGCCCGATAGCCTCAGGGATGATGATCATCTGATCGTCGCCCTCTTCGGAGTTCACGTCGAAAGAGGAGGAGTAGAAGTTCACGTCCTCTTAAAGGAGGTGGAGGAGGAGCAGGAGGAGAAGAAGAGGGAGGATCAAGAGGAGGAGCAGGAGGAGCAGGAGGAGGAGCAGGATGAGCAGGATGAGCCCTCCTCCTCGCTGGCGCCGCCGCGCTCGTCAGGCAAGTCCAGCGCGCCTTTCTCGATCTTCTGGTCGAGCTGGTCGATGAGCCGCTGCAGCAGCCCCCCCCACTCGCGCGGGTGCTTGTCCGCGTCCACGACCCGGCGACGCGGGCGCAGGTACACTGACACGACCGCATTCCGGCGCTGCTCCATGAGCAATATACCCGAGAGAGCAAGGGCTTTTTTTGGGCACCCCACCGACCTCCTCCTCTGTCTTCCTGTCCTCGTCCTCTCCTCCTTCTCCTGCTCCTTCTCCTTATCCTCCCCCCCCCTCCCCTCCTCCTCCGCCTCATCTTCCCCCCCTAACGCCATGTCCCAAAAAAAAACATTTCGCCCTCTCAGCGGGGTAAACCCGCGCCGCCGGGGATTGCGCGTCGATGGACGCGCGCACTCAAATTCGAGCCAAAACGGCTATGCATAGGGCAGCATATGGCCCCGACCACGCATAGGGCCCCATAGAGGCCCATAGGGCCCCCGCGCACGCCAGTTTTTCCAGCGGCGCCCCGTCGCGGCGACAGAGAAAAAAGCCCCCACCCCGCCCCCAAAGGCTGACAGGCGCCCCATCTTCTCCAAGGGCGCGGCCCCCTTCGTCAGTCTGTCAAGACCCCGGGGCCCCCTGCCCCTTCAGTGAAGGAGCCCCCTTCATCGTTGAGTGAGTTTCAGTGGTGACTGGCGCCCTTGAATCGATCAAGACCCCCCCAAAAAAAAAATGAAAACATCAATAACAGAGCATCTTGGCTCGCTCAAGACGGCGCCGCTTCTCCAACGCGCTGGCCCAATATGCCCCCCCCTCTCCGTCGTTCTCAAACGACGGGCGGCGATGAGTAGGCGAGGGGCGGGGCATGGCGGGACGGGGGGGAGGGGGTCCAGGGATGAGGGGGAAGTGGAGTCGACGGAGGTGAAGGAGGCATACAATGATGATGGGGGGACAATAAGAGGGCGGATGATGAGGGGAGGACCCCAGGAGGAGAGGCCGACGACGACAAACGAACAACGACGATCGCTGTTGGCCACCGCGCCCCACGAGGCAGCCCGACTTCCACGAGGTCGCGGAGCAAGCTGCGCAGCGACCGGCGACCCGCCGCGCCCTGCGCGCTCCGTGCGAGAGTGGAGGGGGGGAGCGAGGGCGCGTCTTTCCCCCTCGTCATCATCCTCGCCTCTTTTGGCCCCCGTCTCATCGTAAGCCCCCGTCTCATCGTGAGCCCCTCTCCTCCTCCTCCTTCCCCTCCTCCTCCTCTCCTTCTCCTCCTCCCTTCGCTCCTCTTCCTCCTCCTCCTCCTGCCCCTCCGCCTCCTCCTCCTCCTCCTGCCCCCCCCCTCCCCCCCCGACGTCGCAAAAATCGACCGCCTGCCGCGATCGATCGCTGCATCGAAGCTGGCGCCAGCCGAGGGCGCCTGCAGACCAGAGCCCGCTGCAGACAGGCAGCCGCGTGGCCCCAGCGGGACAGGAGGAGGAGGGCGGGTGGGGGAAGGGGGGGGGGGGGGCAGAGGAGAAGGCCCCACCGGGCTTCAAGGGCCCCTCCGTCGTCTTCGCCCAGGGCCTCCAAGGCCTCGCCTAGGGCCTCCAAGGCCTCGAGCTGGGCCCCCAAGGCCTCGAGCTGGGCTTCCGAATCCTCGCCGAAAAACAAAACCGAGGGACCCTTCGTTGCCGCGGGGGAGGATGCAGAAGAAGAGAGGAAGAAAACAACAAGAAACGACTAGAAGCCACAGAAACCGCTAATGGACCGCTTCCGGTCCACGACAGTCAGCCACGCCCTCGCCTCCCTCTCCGCGAGCACGTACTTGACCTTCTTGAATTCCTCGGGGAGAAGACAGAGCGGTATTAACGTGGAAGCAGATTGCCCCAGTGCGACGCTACCTAGAAGTTGGAACCCCTAGGAAAGCAGCATTCGTTGCTATGATGCTATGGTATGATATGATATGTTTTGTCATGTTATGGTGTGCGGTGCTATGATATGCTATGCTATGATATGCTGAGCTGTGCTGGGATATGTTATGATATGATATGATATGCTATGGTATGCTAAGCTGTGCAACCAAAGTAATGCTGCGCTGTGCTATGCTATGCTATGTACAGCTGCGCTCTGATATGCTATACTATGATATGATATGCTACGCTGCGCGGTGTTATGTTGTGCTGTGCTGAGCTGCGCGATGCTATGCTATGCTATGCTGCGCTATACTGTGATATGTTGGGCTTTGCTATGATATGATGTCCCCCGCTGTGCTTTGCTACGCTATGCTATGCTATGCCATAATATGATGTGCTCTGCTATGCCACTAAAGCTCAGCGAAGCTAAGATGAAGGTAAGCTAAGCTAAACCTGAACGAAGATGAAGCTAAGCTAAGCTAAGATGAAATAGGCTAAGATAAAATGAAATGAGCAACGCTACGCTAATACTGAGGGAACGCCACTGGGGGAACCGCAGAGCGGATGCCGAGGGAACCGCCCGGGGCGTTTGACACTGCCCGGCCCTTTGAGCACACCGAGTATGAACCCGTCTAGGCAGAGCCTAGGCAGGGAATTAGGTCATAAAGTTAGTTTCGTGAGATGGGCGAAGAGTCCACCACCCTCCCATCCATTTATCCATCTACCCATTCCCCCCCTCCCAGCGAGGCCCTCCTGGACAGCCCCCTGGACATGGGTGCCGAGGCCCTAGGGGTGGCGACGCAGAGGGTGCCAATGAGCAGTATGACGGATGATAGGGGGAGCGGGCGGATGAGGAGGGCGAGAGGAGAGAGCGGGAAGGGGGGAGGGGGGTGAGACAGAAGAGAACGAGCAGGATGAGGAGGGGGGATGAGAAGGAGGAGAAGGATAATGTTTTTTTAATGTATATCCCGAGCTCCTCGGGGAGGTCGCGCTTCTCCCTGGGCGAGACCAGCGCCAGCAACTCCGCCTCCCGCCCCGCCTGCTTCAAGGTGAGGCTCTTGTCCCTCACGTCGTTGGCCGACTTCAGCCACGTCCAAGTATTGCCCTGCATGGTGGAGCACGCGTGAATCACATCGTACACGACCGGGTGGGCCTCGATGAAGCTGTCGGCGGCGAAGACCTGCCTGCGCTTCTTGGCCGCGCACTCGTAAGCTATCGCAGTCCCCTGCTCGGCGTGCGACATCGCGAACTCCAGCGTGGACACGACCCCGCCCCTCATCGCGCGCGCCCAACCTGTGCGCTGAGACACTGCAGCAGGCATGCCAACCACGTAGATGTCAGCTTGGGACCGGTCCGTAGTTCGCGCCATGTTGTCCTTCCTGATGCTGCGAACGAGGTCGACCTCGCAAACGTCCACGTCCTTCTCCACAAACAAGCGCAACCCCTCGAGACTCCGCTTCGGCCCTGCGAACGCATCCCCATTGCGCCGCCACTTCGCACTGCGGCTTAGCGACGCCTTCCTTCGACGCTCCACCTCCTGGAGGACGACGTGGCACATCTCCTCGCTCAAATCTTTCACAGAAGTCGTCCCATCCATGATGCTGTCCACGAAGTACTCCATTCGCTTATGTTTCAAGGTGGTCTCTTGGCGGCTGTGGGAATCAGTCCACCCGCCGCCGCGCACCGATTCACGCCGTACCTTGGCGACGGCTTGGCTACACGCCACCTCCCCGGCTTGGGCCATCATGTCCTTCCTCGGCGACGCCTCTCGACCCAAGCGTTCTCGGAGTCCATCAGCGCGGCGGCCTTGCGCTTGATGTTCTTCTTCGAGACCCCCTTGTCGACGCGGCCCCATGGCCCTGGGGTGCGAGGGTTGCCGTACTTGCATAGCTGCCACACTACTTGAGCAACCTCCGCAATCGTCGACTTGTCCATGCACTTCTCCCAGCACACAAGTTGGATCTCATCGTTCTCCAACGCGTCAGAGCAAGAACTGCGCCGCTGCTCCACCGCCCATTGAAACTGCTTGAACGATCTTTCCACTCGGCTGGAGGACCCGACCCACGCAGCATACCGGACAAGGGCTGCACGAAGTGCTGAGATCTGCGTCGTCTCCTGGGGCTGGCAATGCCTCCTCCATTCCCTCTCCTTCCTCCTCCTTCTCCGTTCTTGTCATCCTCCTCCTCACTCTCTGCTCCCCCCAACCTGCCCACCCTTTCCCCGCGCTTCCTCTCTCTCTCTCTCTCTCTCTCTCTCTCTCTCTCTCTCTCTCTCTCTCTCTCTCTCTCTCCTCATCCCTCCACGGCCCCAAGGGGCAGAAGAGGAGAGGAAGCTTCAAACCCCGCGCGGTCCTTGCGCGCAGCCTTAAACTGGGACATCGCCATCTTCCACGCCTCGACGTTGGAAAGACCAAGGCTCGCTTTCTTCTTCTGCAAAGCGACCGGAAGCACGCTTGAATACCCATTCAGCAACGCGGGGAGGTCGAGGCCAAGCGTGTTCGCAATCATTTCGCAGTGGGCCTTGTTGGCAGTCTTCGTCTCCGGCGCGTGTCGCCCAACAGTCTGCAAGTTGAAAGCGTCAAAGGCTGCCATCACTTCGAAATCTGGCCATTCGGCCTTGACAGTAGCCTGAGCGAGGCGGCACCATGCAACCATGCGGTTTCTGCAGCGCTCCTTGATCTCGGGCGTCACGCTGCCGGGGCCGCCTATGGTCCTCGGATGGCCCCGCACAAAGATCGTCACTGGCCTCCTCACCAAGGCATCGTGCACGAACTTCGTGTACCCGAGGTCGTAGCAATGAGACTCGACGAAGAGCATGGCGATGCGCTGCAAGAAAAACGCGTTGTGGCTCGGCAACTCCGCCTCGTCTAAGTCGTCGGCATCGCAGATCCGCGTGTGCGCCAAAGCCTCGTCCCCAGCGTCGGCAAGCATCCCCAGCTGCAGCAACTTCTCCTCGTCCACGTAGTCCAGGAAGTCGGCGGCAATGTCACCCTCCGAGCTGCCTCTGCGGACCTGCGCGATCTGCATCGCAGTGAGCAAGCACGGCTCGTAGAAGAGCACCCCGCGGCCCGTCGGCTTCGAGTGGCTGTCAAAACGGCAAGCGCACATGCTCATGTCTTTGATCCGCATGTTGACAATGAAATGCTCCTGCGCGCGCGCAACGTTCGACGATAACCAACTCTGAAACACCTTCGAATACTGGATCAGGTGTGTGAGCGATCTTCCACCAAGAACCATCCGCTGCATCACATCATTAAGAAATGCATCTGATTTCCAAGGTGTCGAAGTCAAGCGACGAGAAGCATGTGCCCGGTCCCGAGAAACGATGCGCAGATTTGGCAGAGGCGACCACATCTCTTTGACCGATGGCGCTCGGTACGGCCTGCCGCGAAGCAAGTTGCCAGCGAGCTGCTCGTCCGGGGCGGCGTCAGCGGCGTAGCGCTCGATTTTGTGCAGCACCGCCTTGAGCAGCGCCTGGTCGACCTTCACCCTCGGAGCCCTGTTGCGCGGCGCGCCGAGCAGCGGCGTGCAGAAGTTGGTGATGATGCGCATGGACGCCTTCATCAAATCATCTGCACCTGCCCCCTGCTTGAGCTGGATGTGGCCGAGCACCCCCTCGCGGACGTCGAGGTCGTCGTTGGCCGCCTCGGGTGGAGACGGCGGCGGAGGAGGGGGGGGGCGGCGGCGGCGAAGGGGCAGCGGAGGAGGAATAGGAGGCGGCGGTGAGCTAAGGAGGTGGATCTAAAGGAAGAAATAAGATGATCCCGGGGCGCCAGTGGTCGAAGCGCCGGCAGCGGCCAGAGGAGGAGATGATGGCCTCCCCCTTCTCCTCCTTCCCCTTATTCTTCCTCCTCCTCCTCCTTTCTCGCCCTCGTCCTCCCCCCCCCCGCTCTCCTCCCCCCTCCCCCTCCCCCCCTTCTCCCTCTCCTGCTCCCCCTCCTCATCGAGAGAAGAAAAAGGGCGCCTTGAAGCGCATGAGGAGCTTGTGCTTCCGGCTGTCTTGCATGATCGTTAAGCTCCTCGCCCCGGCAATGAACTCGCGCTGCGACATCCTCACGGCCTCGGCGAGGCAGAAACCCATAACGCGAACCTTCTTCCTCTTGCCAACGTCCTGAACCCCCGCCGACGACCGGGCCTTCCCCTCCTGGAAATGCGCCAAGACAGCCTGGAACGCGCCAACAGATGGAGCCACTGGCGCAGCCTTGCCGGCCAGTAACATCTGCACAGCAGCCTGGTGCGACTTGGAATTGGATCCGCGCCGCTTGAACACGAAGGGGTGCGGCTTGGCGGTGAACGTGCCGAAGATGTCAAGCCTCGAATGCATTTTAATATTTGCGCCTTACCCCCCCCCCCTACAGAGGCTATCTCTGAAGGCTCCCCCGTCCAAATCAGGGGGCAAAAGGGCGGGGGGAGATATCCGGAACCCGATGCGACACCCATAGGGCGGGCTTCTTTACTGACCCCCACCCACCCCGCCTGTTGGCCGCCTTGCACGCCAGACACCCCCAGCCCGTGCTCGCGCGATGCAGCCAACTGCCAAGCTCTGGACGGCGAGGATCCAATAGGCATTGCGCCGACGAAGGGGGGCGATAAGGAGTGGGAGGGCGCGGATGAGGAGGAGAAGGATGAGGAGGAGGAGGAGGAGGAGGAGGACAGCAGGAAGGAGCGACGACGATGAAAGCCCGAGAACGAGGAGGAATTATGACAGATGACTGGGAGAAGGATGATGATAATGACACGGAGAAGAAGGAAGATGAAAATAATGATGAGGAGGAGGGGGGGCGAAGAGAACAAGAAAAAGGATAGGGATGGAGGAATGCCTTCCAAGAATCCACGACGGATTCCGACGGCTCGCCGCACTTCTTCAGAAACACCATGGCGGCGGCGGCGGGAGGGGCGAACGGCGCGAGCCCGACCCGGCCCCCCACCCTGCCTCCCCCGCCAGGCGCGATCGCTCCTGGCGACGTGAGGCCTCCCGGTGGTGACTGACCCCTCCCTTCTTCCTCCATCCCCTCCTCCCCCCCCTCCCTTCTTCCTCCATCCCTTCCTCCATCCCTTCCTCCCCCTCCTCCTCGCCACTTCCCCCCCCCTTCTCCTCCCTCCCTTTCCCTCTTGGACGGGAAGGGTTCGCGCCGTCTGCTGCAGCCGGCGCTGCAAGGGCAGCGCAGCGCCGGGCAGGCGCGGGCGGCGCTGCTGCGCCCGAAAATGGGCTTGATGTAGTAAGAGCATGAAAGGAAGAAGATGGAAGTGATGAGGAGGAGGATGAGAGGGTGGAAGAGGAGGAGGAGTAGGAGGAGGAGGAGGAGGATGAGAAGGTGGAAGAGGAGGAGGAGGAGGAGGAGGAGAAGGAGGAGGAGGAGGAGGAGGAGGGGGAGGGGGAGAGGGAGGAGGGGGAGGGGTGATGGCGTGGCTTCTCTGCGGGCTTGGGGGTCTGACCCTTCTCCAGCGATGCCATGTGTCTCTTTAGCAGCTCCGTGAGTCTTTGACTCGGCCCCCCGGTGATTACAGAGGATCGCAACCGATCTGTTCACGGGGGAGATGCACATAATATTATAGAGAAAAGGGCAGTAGAGAGAGGAGGAGGAGGAGGCGGAGGAGGAGGAGGGGGAGGATGAGGAGGAGGAAGATGAGGAGGAGGAGGAGGAGGAGGAGGAGGAGGAGAAGGGGGGCACAATGAAATAATTGATTGTTGATGATGCTACTAAAGATGATGATGACATCGGCGTTGCTGGCTGGGGCAGGGGAAGATCCCTCGCGACCGCAAGGCGAGGTAGGCAAATTAAAGATGAGAAGATGAGGAAATGAGGAAGAGGGCAACGATGATAATGAGAAAGAGGAAAGCGAGGAGGAATAGGACACGGATAATGAATGATGATCACGACAAGCGCGACGACGATGATACGACGATGACAACAAGCCTGGAATAAAGATGATATGTTGGAGGCAACGCCTGATAGTCCTTGGAGGGGGCACGAGAAGAGGGAGCATTAATGATGAGGAGGACGATGTCAGGCAGCAAGATGATGAGGAGGTGGAGGAAGAAGGCGGGCCCCACCACCGCCAGGCGGGCCTTGCCGCGGCGCGGTGGCCCTGGCGGCGGCGGCGTGGCTGCTGGCTGCGCTGCCGCCCGCCAGCCCCCGCCAGAGGGGGCGCCCGGCGCTGATCCTCCTCCTTCTCCTCCTCCTCCTCCCCCTGCTCCGTCTTCTCCTCGCCCTTTTCTTTTCTCTCCTCCTCATCCTACCCCTCCACCTCTCCTTATCCCCCACCTCTCCTTATCCTCCACCTCTCCTTATCTCGCCCTGCTTCCCCTCCACCTCTCCTTATCCTACCTTCGCCTCCTCGCTCTCCCCCTTCGCCCTCCCCCCCTTTCCTCTTGCCCCTCCTGTTATTCCTCCTCCGCATTATCATCCTCTCCTGGCTGTTCCTCGTTGCCCCTCGGCCCTCTCTTCTTTGTTCTTCCACAGCACAAAGAAGGGAGGATATCAGGGCGATGAAGGTGGAGGTGAAGAATCTGGAGAAGGAAACAAACAATGAGGAGGTGCAGGTCGATAAAGAGGCGAAGGTTCTCTCGGGCCCTCGGGAGGCTAAGGGCAAGTTGCGCCGAGCGCTGCCGCGCACTCTCGGCACCTGCGTGAGTCCAGGCTTGTCATCCTGGTGCAGGAGACACGCTTCACCTCCAGCCAGAAGGCGACTGACGCCTGCAGCTGGGCCAGGCGCAACTGTTTCAGCGCTGCCTTCGGCAGCGTCCACAGCACGGGGCAGGCGGCCCAGGCGGTCTCGGCGGGCGTCGGGGTGCTGACGTCAAAGTCTAGGGGCGTGGCGGCTATCGACCACGACTGGCACCAGCACAGTGCCCGCATCCTGGCCCGACGGGTGGCCTTCGGCGATCTCGTGGTTACGGTGGTCAGCGCCTACCTCGAGCACACGACCAGGATGGCTGGCTACAACCTGGAGCTGCTGTCGGACCTCCAGGAGTTCCTGTTCAGCCTCCACGAGCCGTTCATAGTGGGGGCCGACTGGAATATGGACCCCAGCGTGCTCGCCGCCTCTTGGTGGCCACGGGCTGTGGGCGGGGTGGTAGTCGCGCCCACGACCTTCACCTCCGGCGACCAGATCTACGACTTCTTCGTGATCTCCACGGCGCTCGCCGGCCTCAGCCCGAAGGTGGAGGTCATCAAGCCCGCTACACTGAGCCCGCACGCACCAGTGCGGCTCACGTTCAGCGAGCTGGGCAGCAACGCCATGGTCTGGGTCCTCAAGACCCCCAGGGTCTTCGAGGTGGGCTCGGAGGTCTCGGCCGAGCAGCGTGAGATATCCCTGCAGGCGGCGACCCAGATCAGCTGGACAGCCCCCATCACCGACAGAGACGGCACGCCTGATGCGGCGATCAAGGAGTTCTTCGAGGCCGCGGAACTCCACCTGATCGACCAGTTCGGCATCTCCGAGGGAGAGAGGTACCAGGGCAGGGCCAAAGGTCCCCGCACCGTCAAGAAGAAGCTGGCGGACCTGCAGCGCACGGAGGCTGTCAGAAAGCCCAGCCCCATCACCAAGTGCTGGCTCTGCCTCGGGAGGATCGCCAGGCAGCTCAGGGCGGCTGCTGCGGTCTGCTCACCCCCTGTGGGGCACGTCGGCTACATCAAGCACCTGGCGCAGGTGGCAAAGAGCTTGGGGCCCAAGTTCGAGCAGGCGGGTTGCAACATGTTCGAAGGCTCGAAGCTTGACTCGCTGATAGACGCGATCCAGGAGCCCACCGAGCAAGGGCAGGCCTTCCTGCAGATGATCGAGAGCACGACGGAGAGGCACCGCAAAGAAGACGCCAAGGCGGCCAGGCTGCGCTGGAGGGACTTCGTGGACGAGGCCTTGGCGAAGGGGGCAAAGGGCGCCCACGCAGTCATAAAGGACCGTGACCAGGTGCTGGACTCGGTGACCGCGCACTGCCCCGACAGCCTGCCGCTCCCAGTTGTTGGCCAGCAAGCCCTGGACCAGATCCTCATTGAGTGGAAGGCCCTTTGGAAAGGTGCCGACGGGGAGTGCAGGTCCAGACCAGCCGACTGGATCTGCTCCATGGAGCTGCCCCCTATCACGGCGGACGACATCCTCGAGGCGGCGAAATCGTGCCCGAAGCAGACCGCTCTGGGCTGGGATGCGTTCCACCCGCGGCTGGTCCTCTCCCTGGGCAGGCCCTTCGCCGGGAGGATGGCAGAGGTGCTCGCGGCTTGGGAGCAGCAGCCGCAGCCCACAGCCTTCTTCACCACGGTGATCGTCTTCCTGGGGAAGCCCGACGGAGGCCGCCGCCCGATCGGCATCATGAGCATGTGGACGCGTATATAGAGCAGGGTGCGCCGCCGCTACTGCGCCAAGTGGGAGGCGGACCACCCGCTCCCCGAGGTCTGGGGCAAGGACGCGAACACCTGCTGTGACAGGGCGGCCTACCTCCACAACCTGGGGCTCGCGCTCGCCCGCCAGCTTGGCTTCGAGGCAGCCTCCGTCTACTTCGACATCAGCAAGTTCTACGAGCGGATCGACCATGACCTTCTGCGCCAGGCCGCGGAGGGCAACGGCTTCAGCGTCGGTCTGCTCAGGGCCCTCTGCGTACTCTACGCTGGGCCGCGCCGCGCCTCGGCGGACGCCGCCATCAGCGAGCCCATTGAGGTCAGCGGCGCCATCATCGCGGGCTGCTCCTGCGCGACGACGCTGGCCAGGCTCACGTTGCACGGCCTCCTGCTCCAGGCCAGGGCGCTGCTGCCAGTCGGCAGGGTCGTCAACGTCATCGACGACATAGCAGGCCACGGCATCGGGTCGGCAGCGACGCTCAGCCGAACGATCGCGGGCTTCGTCAGCGGCGTGGTCGAGTTGCTGGCGGACAGGCGGCTGCCCATCAACTGGAAGAAGACGAAGGTCCTGGCCTCCACGGCGGGCCTCCAGCGCCGCCTGCAGCGGGAACCCGACTGGCGGCTCGCGGCCGAGGCCTTTGTCTCGGGCCACCGTGACCTCGGCGTCGACGCCACGGCTGGCAGCCACAGGCGAGTCGCGACTCAGGTCGGTAGAGAGCTCGCGGCGCTGCGGCAGGCCAGCAGGCTCCACAAGATCTTCGGGCCTGGCCTTCGGCAGGCAAGGGTCTTGCGCGCGGGCCCCTCAGCCAAAGCCCTATGGGGCTCGGCCTGCAACGGCATCCCGCCTGGCCGCATGAGAGCCCTGAGGCTGGCAGCGGCCAAGGCGACGGGCAAACTGGCTCCTGGGGCTGCGCTGGGCTTCCTGCTGCAGTGCTCGCCGCGAGGCTGGCGCCAGGACCCGCTAGTGGCCACGGGCTTGGCCGTCCTAGCG